AGGAGTTTGTCCTCACGCCTCCTCTTGCAACTGAAGCTACACTCGGGTTCAGCAAGTGTAACGCATCCAGAATGCAGGACAAGATGGAAGATAGGGCAGTGAAGCTGGCCTACAAAAAAGACCCTGAAGGTACTTTAAAACATGCTTGTAAAAATTCTTTTGCTATCTTATCCAATTATGAGCTAGTAAGTAGAGCTAGTAAAATGGGGGTGGATATTCCTGATGATTCGTTCACTTATGTGGATATTATCAGAGAGTTAGAGACCGTGAGAGGGGAGTTAGTTTACAAGAGCAAGATTGAATCCATTGCTCAGGAAATGAATGAGGATATTGTGATAGTTGATGGGTTGGGTAGAAGTAATCCTGTGGATCTAGAATGGCTTGATCAAGAAGAGCATATTCTAGAAAAGATCTCTTCCAGTAAACCTAAGAAGAATAATAAAAGGAAAGCTGGTATCAAAACTTCTAGACCTGTGACTAGAAGTCAAAAAAGTTGTGCCCTAGAGAAAGATATGATCTGTAACCCTACAATACCTCCTGGTAGGGTTACTCGGTCCAATTTTCATAAGAAATGTTCCAAATGAGAGGCCTCATTTGGAACTGTCGAGGGGTGGGCAAGAAAGGGATGGCCACCTGCCTCTCGAACATGATTAGTGACCATTCCCTTGACTTCCTGGGACTACAAGAAACTATGAAGAAGAATTTCTCCCCTAAGTGCTTGAGGAGAATTGACCCCTTTGGATCCTTCCAGTGGAACTGGATCCCTTCTGTTGGGAAATCTGGCGGCATCTTATGTGGTGTGAGGAGTGACAAGCTAGAAATCATTTCCTGTGTTAAGGGGGAACATATGCTACAATTAGTGTTACTGGACAGACCTAGTAAGCTGAAGTGGGGTTTAATAGTAGTTTATGGACCAGCCCATGAAGAATTGAAAGGGGACTTTTTTGGTCGAATTAGCTGCTACTTGTATTGGGATGCATGTACCGTACATTGTTGGGGGCGATTATAATATCCTGAGACACTCTGGTGAAAAGAACAAGAAGCTCAACAATCACAAGTCTTCGGACCTGTTTAATTCTATCATCAATACCTTAGCTCTTCGTGAGATCCACATTAATGGAGGTAAATATACCTGGACTAACCAACAGGCCCTCCCCACTTTGGAAAAACTGGATTGTATCCTCATGTCCGAAGAATGGGAAGACATGTTTCTGCTTGCCTCTGTTTGGAAACTAGTTCGCGAGATATATGATCACAATCCTTTGCTTATCTCCACGGGAGAGGAGGGGAGAGATGCCCCCAAGCCAAGGGAGTTTCGTTTTGATCTTTCCTGGGTCAAATACGATAGATTTCTGTCGCTAGTCAGACAGATCTGGACTAGGAAAGTTAAAGCTTCTGATCCCATAGACATCCTGAATATCAAACTGAAAAGATCCAAAACCTTTTTCAAAGGGTGGGGTTCGGATAGATATGGTCATAATAAGAAGAGGAAGGAGGACCTTAGAATGGAGCTATCCATGCTCGAAGAGCTAGAAGAAGATGGACCACTTCCTCCTGAGCTCTACACTAGGAAGATGGATGCCAACCTTGAGCTACACGAGTTGCTTGTCAATGAAGAGATCTTCTGGCTGCAACAATCACATGAGCGTTGGCTCCTGAAAGGGGATTTGTATACAGACTACTATCATAAGATTGCTAATGGTCGCAAACGTAAAAACACCATCCATTCTCTTAAGGTGGGGGATGATGTTACCATAGAGGGTACTAATAATCTGATTGCCCATGCCATTGGTTTTTACAAAGATCTTTTCGGCCCAGCTCCTAGTAACTTGTTTCATCTTAACCCTGAGACATGGACTGATGATGAGAAGCTTTTGGTAGAGGATAATAGGGATCTCTGTGGAGAATTTACAGAACAGGAAGTTAAGGATGCCCTGTTTGACATGGCTCCAAACAGGGCCCCCGGGCCTGATAACATACCTGTTGAATTTTATCAGGTCTGTTGGGATATAGTTAAGGGCGATATTATGGCCTTGTTTGACCATTTTCATCAAGGTAAGCTTGATGTTAAACGTCTCAACTATGGGATTATTACCCTTCTGCCCAAATTGTCTAGTGCTGACAGAATTCAGCAATTTAGGCCAATTTGTTTACTCCGTTGCCCATATAAGCTCATAACTAAAGTGCTCGACCGTAGGGTTGCAGTTTACGCTGATAAACTAATCAGCCTTACCCAAAATACTTTTGTGAAAGGGAGGAATATCATGGATGGAGTGCTTTCACTCCATGAGATCCTCAACTATACACATGTCAAGAAGAAAGTGGGGATTGTCCTTAAGCTTGATTTCGAAAAAGCCTATGACAAAGTAAACTAGGATTTCCTCCTTGAATGTCATAAAATGCGTGGTTTCAATGAAACCTGGTGTGGATGGATTAAACAAATCCTTTACGAGGGGACAGTTAGCATCAAGTTGAATAACTATACGGGCCCATACTTTCAGAGCGCCAAAGGGGTCCACTAAGGGGACCCCCATTCTCCTTTTTTGTTCAATTTAGCTATGGAATGCCTCACCAAGATGATCAAAAACGCCCAGAAAAATAAGTTGATCGTGGGTTTAGCATCTGACCTCATTCCTGAGGGGGTGGCTGTTCTGCAGTACGCAGATGATACCATTGTTTGTTTGGACGATGATATTGATAAGGCAGTTAACCTCAAGTTGCTGCTATATTTGTTCGAGATGATGTCTGGGCTAAAAGTCAACTTCCAGAAAAGTGAAATTCTCACTGTGGGGGGGATGAGAACACTGTTAAGAAATATGCGGAGTTATTCAGCTGTGAGATAGGCAACTTTCCCATCAAGTATTTGGGCATGCTTGTGAGCTATACAAACCTGAAAAACTCTGATTGGGAGTTCATTGTGGGGCAAGTACTTGAGGAGGTTCGAGGCTTGGATCGGCAATGCGGCCTTGATGGGGGGGAGACATACCCTGCTAGATTTTGTGGTTACACAAATCTCTCTGTATCATATGTCGATGTGGCTTATGAATAAAATTTTTATTGAGAGATTGGATAAATATAGAAGGAGATTCTTCTGGCAAGGGTGTAATAAGAAAAAGAGATACCACCTTGTAAGGTGGAGTATAATTTGTAGATCCAAGGATAAGGGTGGTCTGGGTATCAAGGACCTGCGGAAACAAAACATTAGCCTGATGGTCAAGTGGTGGTGGAAACTTGAAACACAAAAAGGTCTATGGCAGCATATTGTCCAAGCCAGATACCTTCGCAAAAAAATTGTTGCGGATGTCACTGCCAGATTTTCTGATTCGCCCTGCTAGAAATCACTACTCAAAGTCAAAAATGTTTATATGTTGGACAGAAAAATAGAAACAAAAACGGGGGACGTCGCTAGGCTGTGGAAAGATTCAATTAATGGGTCTCCTGCTCTTCAGGAACAGTTCCCTCAGCTCTTTGATATTTGTAATTTTCCTGATTGTACTATGTATAAGTTGGTGGGCGAAGATGCCAGCTCCTTCTTTAGACGCAGGCTTACCCCTGATCTGCTTAAGCAGTGGGAAGCGGTGCGATCTATAATCAATAACATACCCCTTGCCAAAATTAGTGATGGTGACAAAGTTTTCTGGGGGCTTAACCAAAACGGCAAGTTTTCTACTAAATCTGTGTATAAGATGCTGGAAAAACCTCTCACTGGGTGTAGTTATAAGTGGATATGGAAAGCTAAAATTCCTCTCAAAATCAAAAAAAATTTGTGGCAGTTATCTCAGGACGCAGTATTAACAAGACAAGTAATGAGAGAACAAAAATGGCCAGGGAATCCTCGTTGCTCTTTCTGCAGGGAGGTAGAAACCTCTAAACACCTCTTTTTCACTTGCCCTGTTGCCAGGGTTGTTTGGAGATCGATTGGAGTGGTGCTGGGCACTGATATGTGTCCCAATAACTATTGGCAATACTTTGTCTGGTGTAGCAAATTTCTTCCTGGCAAAGAAACCTTCTATACTGTGGGCCTAGCTGCTACTTGTTGGGCCATCTGGTTGGCGCGTAACCGAGCTACTTTTGAGAAAAAACAGATTAAGACTCCTTTTGAGATTGTTTTCTCCCTTTGTTCATTTCTATTATATTGGACAGGTTTACAGAAAGGAGAAGCGGCTGGAGAACTTCGCGCAGGTGCAGAGATGATCAGGAACGGCATGTTGCAGCTGATGAAACTGTGTGACCCTGTCAAGCAAACAATCCAGACATGAAGACCAAGTTGCAGCCTCGGCGTGGTGTAATTCTGAAGCCGGAGGCAATCTTCTCCATCCTCTCGTGCTATCTGTTACTTTTGCATAGTCTTTTCTAGTTCGGGCGGTCTGATGTGTGGTTTGCGTCTGTTCTGGTCGTTCTTTTGGCTGGCTGTAATAGACTTGATATTGGTGTTACCAGGTTTTCGCCCCATGGCATCCATTTCTATGTCGGGCGGATGTGGTGGGTTTCTTGGTAATGCTTGAACTCGCTCTACCCTCTTTCCCTCCTCCTGTCATCTTGAACTGGTTGTATTTCCGTTCTTAGTAATGGAAAGGGGTAAAGCCTGGTTCAAAAAAAATATGCACGTTCATGCCAAGTTTTAGAACCAATTCGACGTATTTTCAAGTTTAGGCACTAAACTTAACATTCATGGCAAGTTCAAACAACACTCGTGTGTTTATTACTGGAACTTGGTTATCTTTTTTATTATTATAGTTTTATTATTTTTGGTTTTTTATTTTACATTTTTTTTGTATTTATCCCTTTGGTATTTGCTTGAAACATTTCTCTATTTTTAGTTGCATTTCTCTTCTGTTGTTGAACATCCTCTTCAATTCTAAACAAAATTCTTCTATGAAGGAATTAATCCAGATTTATGATGTTACATCCTAAATACTTTACATATTTGTGTGGATTTAAAAAGGAGTCCCGCCAAACACTAAAACAATCTAGAAACCAACAGCCCTAACAAAAACAATCTACAAGCTAAAAGTGTATGTACTACCCTCTTCAAGATCAAGCACGTCTTGCGGTCTGAACTTATAATTCACATCACGTTGTTGCTCTCTACCAAGCAAGCTTTGCCCCTCATCCGGATCAGCACTGGCCTGACCCCATGGTTTCCATTGATACCTCCTCAGAGCTTCCAATTTCTCTGCAACTTCCTTCATCGACGGATGCTCCTCTCTGATCATGCTCACACAGCGCATCACAAGGTACGTTACTTCTTCCAGCGCCTCCGGGCTCATCTCCAATCTCACCCGACCATCAAGGAGCTCGCCGTGCCGGCCTGCTTTCATGGCCGTCGTGAATCGGGACACGAGGCTCCTGTCCTCCTCTGGCTCATCGAAGCAGAGCACCTTCTTCCCTGTCAAGAGCTCGAGCAGAACAACACCAAAACTGTACACATCACTCTTGTCCGTCAGCTGACATGTCATGAGGTACTCCGGGTCCAGGTACCTGCAGGTGCCTTTCACCAATGTCACAATCTCAGCCTCGTCACTTGGTGCTAGCTTCGATGCCCCGAAGTCATAGACTTTGGCGGTGAGGCTGCGGTCGAGCAAGATGTTGGTCATCTTGACATCGCCATGGAGGATCGGTGGCGAGCCGACGAGTGCATGTACGACAGCGCCTCGGTCGACTCCGTCGCTATCTGCAGGCGGGTGTCGAGTGCCTTGTTGGTGTCACGGCCCTCGCCGCCATGGATGTAGTGGTAGAGAGTGTCGTTGGAGACGTACTCATAGACTAGCATTGGCACCTCTACCTTGAGGTAGCAGCCGTGCAGCTTGACGACATTCCAGTGGTTGATCTGGGAAAGGATGAGCATCTCCCTCGCGAACTCCTTTGTCTCTGCGACCTCCATCATTTTAGACTTCTTGATGGCCACAATGGTCTTGTCCTCGAGAACACCTCTGTAGACAATGTTGTGGCCGCCGCGACCGAGGATCTGGTCTGAGGCAAAGTTGTTGGTCGCCTTCTTGAGCTTCTCTTCCGAGAATATCTTGAACCCACCACCGCCTCCCCCGGCGGCGCCACCGTAGGAGCGCATCTGCTGCTGCAGGATGATCCCTTCGTTGTGCTCGGAGAAGCTCTGCTTTGCCTTGGTGAGTTTTCTCTTCTGCAGCCCCAAGTAGAGCCAGAAGCACATGAACACTGACAAGAACACCCCCACGCCGACTCCTGGACATGACACATCGCATACTCGATCATTAGTTTAGATTCCCGGGAAGAACATTATTATCTATAAATATTTTTTTAGAGGAAAAGGGCTCCTGCCCCGGTTCCATTACTTAAAATGAAACCACATAATCAATCTTCATTACAGCCCGCGGGAGAGGTTTTAACGCTCTCCGGCATAAAAATCCATCATGAACCTGCTATAAACCTCATACACTCCCAGCTACTCAATAGTCTACTGACAAGAATTTAAAGACTAATTCCACAACTCGGGGGAGGCTTGGAATCTCCATCATCTCTTCTCATCATGCCATGAGTAGCTCTCCCTCAATACCGCACCATCCTTCCGTCTTCTTCTTCTGATAATATTTCACCCACAATTCCTTCTTCCTCATCCTGGCTCTGGCTAGAGAAGTAGAGGCGGCCGCTTGGACAGCTCCCACAGAGATGATGTTAGGATCTCCACGCGCTCTCTTGTAGCTCCTTTGCATAGGATCTTCCATTGGTTGCAGAATCCTGCAATTCTCCTCAGGATCACCTGCACTCCCAACCATGGGGAATTGTTAAAGCACATATCATTTCTACATCTCCAGATAGCCCAGAGAGTAGCAGAGACAAACATATTCTCAGTTTGTAGGGACTTATGTTTATCCCACTTGTCAGTCACAAAATTCAATCCAGGCTGGGGCATACATCCCACAACCTCATGAATATTTTTCCACACTTCAACAACCACAACACATTCAAAGAAAAGGTGGCTACTAGTCTCTTTTTCACAGCAAAATAAGCAACTAAGATCATCTACGTGCTGCCTCTTGTTCAGGTTACTCCTAACTAACAATTTATCCTGAGCAAAAAACCACAAGAAAATATGAATGTTAGGTGGGACATACAGTTGCCAAACTTTTGGAATATGCACAGGGGTAATCCCCCTAAAGTTTATCATGGCATACAGGGATCTCACTGAGTATCTCCCATTATGCTCAAGTTTCCATATAATGGCATCATCATCATCATTAAGAATGACTGACTGCACAATACTCAGCAAGTCAAACCAAAGATGCAATAGCCTATTGTCTACACATCTTCTGAAAGAAATCTTAAGGTTTGTTCCATCCCAAACCTCGGCAATAGTTTTATTGTGCTCATTGGCAATACTATACAACTCCCAAAATTGAATGGATAAGCTACAGGACCCAAACCAATGATCTTCCCAAAATTTAGCTTTCCTACCATTCCCCACTTTCCATTGGTAGCCCATCTTTGCTGCTTTAGCAGCCCAGAGGACTCCTTTCCAGAAGGGGGAATAGGCATTACTCTCTCGACAAGAAAGAATATTAGGATTACTAGTCCTATATTTGGCATCCACAATTTTCTTCCATATTTTTTGCTCACCTCTTTGATACTTGTCCACCCACGCAGCAAGCAAGCAAAGGTTCATGTCAGCAATATTTGGGATCCCCAAACCACCATACTGTTTTTTTGATTCAAAAGACCCCAGCTTGCTAGGTGGTATTTATGGTGACCCTCATAGTTGTCCCAAAAATAGTGGGCCATTTGTGAGTTGATCAAATTAATAGCCCATTTAGGGAATTTAATCATGCTCATCAGATAGGCAGGGATGCTAGCTAAGCAAGATTGAACTACAATCAGCTTCTTCTCATAGCCTAGCAGCCCCCCCTCCACCCAGCTGCCTTTTTTAGGACTTTATCAACCACAGGTTGCAAATCCTCTCTCCTTAATTTGGAGTGGTGGAGAGGGAATCCAAGATATTTCAAAGGAAAAGATCCCAGGCCACAAGAAAAAGCTTGGGCAACACATTGGGTACCCTCCTCATCAACATTAATGGGAACCAGATCACACTTGTGGAAGTTGATCCTTAGCCCAGACATTTGCTCAAAGAAAGTAAGTAGCCATTTTAAATTCTTGGCAGACTCCAAATTATTTTCTACAAATAACAGAGTATCATCTGCATACTGCAAACTAATTATCCCTTGTGGGAAGATGTTACTCATCATCCATGTCAACATATTCTTATTAGCAGCTTTATTGAGCATTCTACTGAATACATCTACCACTAGATTAGAGAGCATTGGAGAAGCAAGACCCCCTTGCCTGACTCCTTTAAAGGTTTCAAAAAACACACTATTACAATCATTTATCCTAACCCCTACTGAACTCTTATATAACAGGGATTCCACCTTTTTCATCCATTTAGGGCTAAACCCTCTTTGATACATGATCTTCAGGAGAAATTCTTTACTGACCCTATCATAAGATTTTTCATAATCAAGCTTAAAAACAAAACCCTTCCCTACTGTTGGTTACAGCATCATGAATTATCTCATGAGCTGTCAGCACACTTTCAACTATGTATCTCCCTTTAATAAAAGCTGTTTGATTTTGGGAAATGATCTCATCCCCAATATCACCTAGCTGATTAGCCAAGCATTTAGCAAAGATTTTAAAACTACAATTTGTTAAAGCAATAGGCCTAAATTTTTGAATAGTATCAGCATCAGACTCTTTAGGAATTAATGTTAACAAAGAAAAATTTAATATATAAAGGTCCAAGGAATCATTATTCCAAGCATCCACCAACAGCATTAGGTCAGCCTTAATAGTGTCCCAAAAATGTTGATAGAAGAGGAAAGGGAAGCCATCAGGCCCAGGGGCTCCTTCAGCATAGGACCCAAAGACATCTGCCCTGACATCTTCCTCAATAATATTAGCTTCTAATTTCCTATTATACTCATTAGACACCTTCTCAGAAGGGTCCCAAAAGTCATCATCTAGAGTAATATCCAGGGTTTCCTCCCTACCAAATAGTTGTTTGTAGTAATCTACAGCAATGTTTATAATACTCTTGGTATCCTCTACAGGTCCATCTGGGCCTTTTAACACACTAATCTGCTTCTTCCTCCTTCTTTGATTAGCCAAAGCATGGAAGTAAGCAGTATTTCTCCCCCCCCCCTCCAGTATATTTCTTTCTCTGGATCTTTGCCTAGATTTAATCTCCTCTAATCTCCAAATATCTTGGAGATCTAGGGCAATCTTATCCATCCTAGCTTTAGAGGGTGGAGAGAGCACTTTTGTTTCTGAATCTATATCTAAAAGGTTATACTCAGCCACTAGCTGCTGCTTATTCCTATTCTTAGAGGCCTCATAGTTGGCACTCCAGCCTTTACAAATTCTTCTAAGCAGTCTAATCTTAAACTGCCATCTGTCCATAGGATCTATAATAGAACAAGGTTTGTTCCAAGTGATCTTGACCATCTCCACAAATCCCTCTACTTGGAGCCACCACTTTTCAAACCTAAACTGTTTATCTTTTGGTGGCTTAATGGCTCCAGTGTCCACAATTAGGGGGGTATGATCACTCCCCACCCTAGGCAGGACATTTAGTTGCACAGCTGGGAATAAACTCTCCCAACAAGTGGAAATAAACACTTTATCAATATTAGCCATCACCAGATTATCCTGGTTGTTGGCCCAGGTGAACTTCCTAGTATAATTCTTTAATTCAATCAGGCCATATTTATTGACCCAATCATTAAAAAGATCCACCCAATGCAAATTAACAGCTCCAGTACTCTTCTCCTCCCTATTTCTCACCAAGTTTAAGTCCCCACCAATAATAGTAGGACCCAGCCAGGTCTCCATAGTATTGTGGAGTTCATTAATAAAATCTACTTTAAAATTATCATAAGCAGTTCCATACACTGTAATAAATCTCCACACATTACCATCCTTTTTATTTTTAATTATGCAGGCAACAGTGTATTGGAGGATATCCACAGACAAGATCTCATAATCATCATGTCTGATTCCCACCAAGATGCCACCTGCTGTGCCAGTAGCTGGCATCCAATTCCAAGTGAACTCCTCATTTTGATCTAAAGTTTTAAGCTAAAAGCTAGTAAAAGTTTCTTTCTTAGATTCAGAAAAACCTATCAAGTCAGCATGGGTCTCTCTAATGAGTTTCCCCACTTCACTTAGTTTATCAGGCTTGTTAAGCCCTCTAACATTCCATATCAGTCCTACTACCATTATTAAAATCCAATTTTCTATAGCTACTTTTTTTACCTGACACCACCTCAGCCCAAGTAGGGATATCACCTGCTGCATCAGTCCCGTGAGCACAGCTAGGTCCTACATTTGGTGAGATTTCCTTGTTACTCCCCTCAAAACTAATATCTAGGTTAATAGGGAGAAAACATTCAGGGTGTGACTCTTTAAAGCTAGATATCCTATCATTCTCAATCAGCCTAATGGCTTGTATATTGTGTGAAATAGTTTCCACATCATCACCTAAATTAAGGCCAGCCTTCCTGGCTTTTGATAACAACTCCTCATCATTAAAAGTAGAGAATGAGATGCAATTTATATTACCTTTAGG